CCTTCTGATCTCTTTCTTCACAATGATCAACCTTTGTGATTTCAATTTTGATACTATAGGGTGTACCTGAAGCATTGATGAAAGCAGGGGCTGTATATAAATATGACTTGTCTCTGCCTCCTGAAAAAATGTATGAGCTTGTTGAGGAAATGCGCGCTCGTCTTGGTAAGGAAATAGTCTTACCTTTAACATGATTTTTCTGTATCACCTCCTACTTTCCTGGCTTAGTGGGAAGATAGTCACTTTTTACTGAACCATACTTCAATAAGTCTCGTTTTATATGGGCCGTGCGCTGGTCCAAATGAAAAATTAGAGCATGTTTTAGTAAAGTATAAAATTCTTACTTGTTTAAGTAAAGTTTAAAATTTTTACTTACTCCCTCCGTCCCAATTATATAGGCTTGTTTAGTTTTTCACACGGATTAAGAAAACTTATTTAATGTCATTGAAAAATTAATTTTTGTCAAGATCTTTCCTAGTTTACCCCTATTTAATTTTCAGTGTGTAAAACTAAATTATTGTTAGAATTAATAAAGAATTTGAATTTTCAAGAAATTTGTATATCAAGTGGGGATCTTCCAAGATCCAATCTTGAAGACTCAATCACCAAGATGGGAATGATTAACATCTATGCCCGGGGAGTGTGGAATTCCAATTCTAAATTCCTTATTTCTAGTGCAATCTTTGTATTCTATATTATTAGTTAGAGTTAATTTTGGTATAATAGGTTTTAGGAATTAATTGATTTACTAATTTTTGAACCAAGGTGAGATATTCTTCTCCTATAAATTCATTGTATTCTTAATTTAATTTCGATAAATAAAAAATAAAGGGTTCTTCTCTTTCTTCACTAACAGTGGCCAGACATGGACCATACATAGGCAGCCCAATAGAGGAATAAGTAATGTGTTCAAGGAACAGACTTTAGAATGCTTTTGAAGCTTATAAGCAGTTGTATCCCTTTGTTCACACACAACTTTATTCTTTTTGTTCAATATTTTTAATTGGTTATTAATTTTATGGTACACATGCAGTAAAAACATATCTTATACCATTAGATTTTCATTTTAAGATCTTGCGCTGTAGTTCTGTTGGGATATCACGACTGAAAATAATATCCTTATTTCACCAACAGCTTCATTCCAATTGTTATTGTAATGGCTTTACAGTTAATAAGGTGATCTAGAACTAGTTGGAATCCCGTAGATCTAGCATATTTTGTTATGACACACTTGGATACACCCTCATGAAATAGGCAAAGGGAGTGGATGGTCACTCTATTTCATAGTGTAAAAAAAAATAATAATAATAATAAATAGAAATAAAAGGATTTATGTAACAAATGTCAAATGCATACCCTCAAACTCACTACTGCAAAAACACTAATAATAGAAACTTTATACTGGGAGGTCTTCAAATTTAGTACTAACTTTGATTTATTTAAGAATAATCAAACTTCTTACATTCCTTCTGATCTCTTTCTTTACAATGATCAACCTTTGTGATTCCAATTTTGATACTATAGGGTGTAGCTGAAGCATTGATGAAAGCAGGGGCTGTATATAAATATGACTTGTCTCTGCCTCCTGAAAACATGTATGAGCTTGTTGAGGAAATGCGCGCTCGTCTTGGTAATGAAATAGTCTTACCTTTAACATGATTTTTCTGTATTACCTCCTACTTTCTTGGCTTAGTGGGAAGATAGTCACTTTTTACTGAACCATACTTCAATAAGTCTCGTTTTATATGGGCCGTGCGCGGGGCCAAATGAAAAATTAGAGCATGTTTTAGCAAAGTTTAAAATTTCTACTTATTTACTAATAAGATTTATAATAAATTTTGGTCAAAATTGGAAATAAGTTACTCATTTTGATTTCGAAGCATGCCATGACTGTTATGAGATGGCAAAGTTAGTTCCTTTTATAATGTCATATATACTTAATGAAATGCCCATTTTTGTTTTTACAATCTCCAAATTGTGATTCTTGAATCTTGAGTATCATATGTGGATAATCTCCAAGCATTCACTTGACCTTCCTTAATCGAAAATCTCTAGGTTCTGCAGCGAATGTAGTGGCATATGGTCACCTTGGGGATGGTAACCTACATCTCAATATTTCAGCACCGCAATACACTGATAGTGTAATAACTTCATTTCTAGTTCATTTATAATTTTTTCTGTCAACTATGAATTGCATTAAATAAGAACATTATTCCTTATAGATATTATCGAAGATAGAACCCTTTGTCTATGAGTGGACGTCTAAGCACCGTGGGAGCATCAGTGCTGAGCACGGCCTTGGGTTGATGAAAGCCAACAAAATTCATTACAGCAAGTCTCCTGAATCTGTAAGGCTAATCTCATTGTCTGTTAGTTAATAATGAACATCTCATTTGCAAATTTATGCTTTTCTTGAATTTCAGAACATTTTGTTAATAATGAAGGTCTCATCTCGCTTGGGATCGATGAAAGCTGATAATTTTTATTTTTTATTTTTCTGCCATTTAATGTAATACTATTAGCCCCAGTTTACTAATAAAATGAAATCTGAAGTGAAATGCCAACTTTCTTTAGTGTATGATAATATCTGACTTTGAAGAGAGATGCTGGAAATTTTGATTTGACTACAGGAAAAATTACTTTGGCAAGTTGAAGTAGACTAAGACAGAGAAGCTTCTCTCCCTAAAAAGTTTGTGATGTGATCTCATTCTTAAGATAATAGTTTGAGCTGTATCCTTGCACGAACATATAGGAGTTCCAATTTTGGGTAATTTTTGTTCTCATAATCCACTTGTTTTTTATATTGTTTGTTGGTAGGACATTTTTAGAGTGTATTTTTCCCCTCTAAGTATATTGCTCAATGCACGTGGGCTATGCTCACTCTTACTGAATTTTAGATGCAGTTTACTTACCCATTTCTGATCAGTGCCGTTTACTTGCAATAAAAATTTTTTTCGAAGAACAATCAAAAGGGAAATCAAAGAGTTACTCAATATTTGCAAAGGTAGCTTCAGCTTTTATGAACAAAAGTCTTCCAAGCTCGAGAATAGGAAGAAAATAATGTTTATTGTTAATCCTTATACATTATTCTTATTTTGGGGGGATAATAGATAAGAATAACGAGATATTTTGCTCTCTGTTTGACCAAACTATGTATAAAATTTTTATTTCGGCATCTGAAAACATTTTTTTTGGATGCAGGTACAACTAATGGCTGCCATCAAGAAGCTAATTGACCCTAACAGGATTCTCAACCCGTATAAAGTTCTTCCACCCTCTGTATTATCCCAAAGTTGAGGTGAGACTCAATCTAGAAATTTTGGTTTGACATCTATTTTTAGCTACTTGATAGACTTTTATTAGGATTTGGAATCGAACTGATAAATATGCAATATAGTCTTAAACCAAGCATTTCCCTTGCATGGAAGAAAGTACAGTTAAACTAATTCTAAAATTGCGAGTGACTGAGATAAGTTAACCCTTTGTTTCTTCACTTCTTTTGTTATCCTCCTTAAAACTTGTGTTGAGCTCCATGCCTTCAATAGTATGGTGGTTCATGCATATATTGAAAAAATAATGTAGATATAAAAATATTGCCTCAGTGGCAGATAACACGCGTTTAGTTGTAACCATTCCAAGTTATTGAGATTTTGCAATCACAAGGTCTTTGGTGTCCTTCAGAAATTTAAAATCTTCGAGCAGTCTGTTACCTGTGCTTACAATTGCAAGTGGAAAATGAATATTTTTGGTGTAATCACGTGCTGATAGAGAGTAAATATGGAACCTGTGCTAACCCTTATCAAGATTGTTGTCTTCTTGTCCAATGATGCATGGAAGTATAGCGGCACGTTTGATACACAAGATTGGATGCAACAATTGACAAATCTTTTTCAGTTTAATGTACCAACATAACCTAAAGGCTTTCCATATGACACTTATTTGTTTGGTTCCTTTTGTGCAATAGCAGCATGAAAATGAGTAATCAACCATTTCTGTTGGTCTTAAGACTCCTTTCATTTGACAGATTACACAGAAAGAGAAGAATGTTCAAGTGGCAAAGAAGACAATTTGACACAATACATTTGTGGAATCTGTAATTGGATCAGAATGTGAATCCAAGCATCATTTTCTAAGCCTTAAAATATGCATTGTAATGTAGGAAACACAAGCCTGGTAAACTGCTTATACTCATGGTTCATAAAATTGTACTATTAAATTCTGTACCAAAATATCCAAAGTGAGTCAATGATAAACAGCCTGACAGGAATTGGTGACAGGTGCTTCGTGTCAACACCTGTTTGTTTTGTCTTTTTTTTTTTTTTTTTTCAAATTGCCCAATCAAATGCTGACACGTGTCCCTGGTTTTAAAATCCTGTCACTTACAATCACAACTAGATTCAAATAACTGAAAGTACTACGCATCTATTACTTTGTCTCTGTTTGTCTACCATTATTTCAAAAAATTGTTTGCTATAATAAAATTCTCTACCACACATTCACTCAATAAAATATTCTACACACAAAACAATAAAATTACTTTAAATTTTAATCACACATTCTCCAAAAAATACTATTCATTACTCTCTCCCAATGATAGGAGACAAACACACCCTTTATGTGCAGTAATATTTTCTATTGTTTAAAGTATATGTTAATTATAACCTTTGTAAGGTCCTCGGGTTTTTTCTTTTTCTTCAGTCTTCAACTTCGTGAACTCCCTAAATACTATCTCAAACTGTCACATTTCTCCACATGATGAGCTCTGAAAACATAATGTTTCCAATTTCTGGTCTAACCATTCACCCGAATCACCAGTCAACCAAGATAAAAATGGGACGTTACATCAGATTATACATAATCAACCAACTTGGCATTGCAACTAGAGTCCTATGTTTCCCTTTTTCGCACTTTAACACTACAAATTTCACTATGATAATGCTACAAAAAGAATTTCAGTTAAGGAAGAGGGACCCTAAAAAAATTAATAAAAAGTAAAATCGTTAATCTTTCCTCCTGAATTTCAGCATATTTAATACATTCTCATACACTATAAATGTAATTGAAGCAGCTGGAGCATTTTTCAGCACATTTGCAGTGATACCCTTGTAGAAGCCTCGTACACCCTCAAACCTGTGAGCCAAAGTGGAAAAAATATATGGTTTCTCGTGATTGAAGAAAATTATAGAACAGTAAAAATGTGATCAAACTCTCTGATGAGCAACGAAACAGCAGAGAGTATTGCAATGTTCGGTTCACCCATATTGAAAAAATAAGCGATCTTTGATTTTCTTATGGATCCAAGTGGTTTAACTACTAAGATCGTGGTGTATAATAATTGTAGTTAATGGACCCGTAAAAGGTAATGCAGTGAAATTTGTAAGGTAAAGTTCATGCTTACCGCGCTGTTTCCTTCACTACATGCCAACTATCCATGTATCTCGGAATCCCCTCAGTGCTTGGCCGTTGCTGCAAAAGAGGAAAAGGATGATAATTTACTTATTACAAAGATAAGAGAATAATTCAAATGAATTGCACAGCAAGTCTCCTCACTCCATTGGACGAAAAGTTTGGACGAGAAAGCTGTGTACATAGATAAATGGAAGAGGTATTAAAATTTTCTTACCTGCAAGCGAGCTCGGATAACCTGATAGACGCCACCCAATCACATTCATTAAAGAAAAAGAAGGAAGGTATAGTTAATTACCATTCAAATTTATGAAGATGAAGTTTAGGCTAATAGCTATAATTCTATATATAGCTATTTTGTGATTATACTTACCTGAAATGGATATGTCGAAAGAATGGCAGCTAGTTTTGAAGAAGCCCCTAATATTGCATAATCAAATGAATCCTGTCAAGTGAACACAAAAGAGCTCTAAAACTATAACCAGTAGCAGGACAAAAACCCTTTATTAAAAGAATGGCAGCTAGTTTTTCCAAAAGACAGGATGATCTGATTTTATAAAACAAGAGGAGATCAGAAATTGCACTGGCCGAACAAATTCAACAAAGCTATGAGCTTATGTGTGAGAATGTATAAACAAGTTAGATGTTCCTGTGGCACAAAAATAAGCATTGGTTTTTGGAGATTCACCAGTGAAGTGTCAGCTGTAATAGAATTTATTTCACTTTCGTCGGTCCTATAATTGATAACAAATTTGCGAAGTTCCTCATATGCTGTGAACTGAATAGCACCATGTGTAACCTGCTGAATAGCACCAAAATCAGTAAGTTCCACTGTATTCCAAAATTCATGGTGAAACTTTATCCTCCCTCCTTAACATTGGTATCCTCAGGATTATAAAGAAATGAATAAGTAAAAACGTCAAAGCACAACGAACATAAATGGCAGAACAAGCCGCATCCCTTTTAAGGGTAGAAGATAAAGGGCTCATAAAATAGAAAAAAAAACAATGATAAGACACGCATAAGAGAAAAAAGACTAACCAGAAAAAGACCAGGCACCAGACCTTTGTAGAGTGCTCTCCATCCCTCTTCTTTCATTATGGTTCTTAAAGCGTCTGAAACCCCAAGAAATGAGAGGACCACACAGAGTTACTATAAATGGTTCGAAAAATAGTATAAACCTTAAAAGAATCATCAAAACAACATAACCCAAGAATAACAATGCTTGACTAAGAAGGCAAAAGAATCACAATCAATAATTTGCCAAATGTCTAATTCCGTTGATAGACTTAACACTCTATATGAAGATTGAAACATCCATCACCTAACAGAACATTCTAAAGTCAAACTGTAAATCCAGCAATTGTCCCTGGCAGCTGGTTTGTGCCAACTGCTGGTGAAATAGAGCTGTTGGCAAGGGTTACCGACAATGCACCCAATTCACTCGTGTCCACCCTCTCCCACACACAACTATATCTTACGCTGGCACTAGTGAACTAAATGCACTAAGATACATCATTCAACAGCCTTGTTGGAATACAAGCAGCTCATTTGATCCTCAATCAAATTACGAGTTTTATGCCAAGATACACCAGTGCTTAATTAGCTGACTAACCTGTTAGATATACGTGCCAACAGACCCAAGAGCTCTATGTTTTGTCTCATAGCCCCCACCAACCTCAAATGGGTACCGTATAAGGGATTCTTTAGTGTCTTTTCAATAATTTGTACCAATTCATGTTCAGGCTGATATGAATTTGTATATATATATATATGGTCAATAGAAGCCCAATAACATACATATGAATGAGATAAAGAGCTGAAATGGATGTTTTAGCCCTTGTTTGGGCTTCATTTTAATGAGGTTTTGGGAAAAATGTATTTTGAAGTAATTTTTTTGAGAATGTACGGTTAAAAAGTAAAGAAAAGTTTTGGATTTACATGTAATATTATTTTATTAAAGAACGTGTGGCTGAAAATGAAGAAAAAGAAAAATGCATTAAATTAAAATGGAGCCCAAACAGGGGGCTTAATGTGATAGAAGTTAAGCCTAATCATATAATGCAAAATCTTTCTTTGCAATTTCTATACATGTTAAAAACTGTAACCATATTAGAGTTTGACCCAGGAACTAGGAGAAAATAAGTGGTAACTGTGTGTGTGAGGAGGGTGGTGGCATAACGTTGGGCATGTACTCTAAGCTAATGGTAGTTGGTAAAAGAAAATGCAAATTTAAAACCAACATAATTCGGACTTCATACAATTACTTATGAGATGAGAATACAAGCAACATTCCAAATAGAAACAAACAAGGATGTTCTATAATCTTAATGTTGGAAATCACTGACATGTGCAACCAAATAAATGATAATGGCAATAAATAAAAAATTTTGTTTTATTTAATAGAGCACATCTATAGCAAAGGATCAGAGCAGACCATGTAACCCAGAATATGGATGTGCTTGCTGAGGCGTCTGAAGCTGCAATCTTGTTTTCACCAGCCAAACAGGATTGGTGCAAAGACTTACCTGAAATAGCCACCAGGTTACTTCCATGAGCAAAACAGAAATTGGTGCATTTGCTGATATCACGAATGCCTAATATTATCATGGAGGTTTTTTAGATTTATAATATAGGTAGGGCTGCAGAGAAGATCAAACAGCTTGACAAGTGCTAGCATGAGCACCTTCACTGGAATTAGTGTCAGGCACTACTCCATAGGCAATGCAGAATTGAAAACATCATAAATCCTTTCAAGGAATTAAAAACTAGGAATTTTGAGTACGGTGATCCTCAAAGCTTGTATGTCCCAAACAGAGTGCAGCAATTTAATAGCATCACTGACAAATTTAGGTTATCAGTTACACAGTTTTGGTTCATCAAGAAAAAAGACGAGGATAAAAACAACTCAATTCTATATTGGCCCTGGTCCATGGTACAGTGTTGTTTATACAACAATTTCTTCACTTCGAATTTTGATTAATATAACATCTACTTTTTATGCTTTTTTGTCGATAAAAAACAGCATTTTCACTTCGACGAAAAAGTGCATCATCTTTTCTTTTCTGGAAGCTCCAATGAGAAAAAATTATGACATTAAAAAGTAATATGCTATATAAAGAGGTTATTACGATTTTTTTTAAAAAAAAAATCGGTAAAGTAAACTTTCTCCCTACAAAGGACCCTGCAGTTCTGCTACATGCACGTGCTGATCAAATGGATATACATTATGCTTCCTATTCCAGGGATTAGAAAGTTCAAAGACAAACCAAGGCTCCTGCTTCGGCAGCTGAAGCAAGATGAAGACGTGGGCTCAGCTCCTCCCTGGTTCTCATATACCGTTGCTTGGCTTTGCTGTAGCTGAGAAAGGTAAAACCATCACACACGATTCCATAATACGACACATCTCATAACAAGGTAAAAGCGTAAGTAGTCTAACTAGTGGCTGAATGCATTACGAGGAAGCTGATAACCGTAAAAACAGTAAGAAAAAGAATAAGCAACACAGCACATTCTTCATGTTATTTTACTTGAAACTTGAAGGATTCAGAACATAGTAATTAAGAACTAACGAGGAAACATTTTTATTGAATTTTCTTCTGAGTAAAATAATATTAACAAATTCGGACTACAGATACAAGGCCATAAGGATTCACATGTGCAACTAGAAACAAAAGCATTGGTCAATTACATAAAACAGTAAAGCAATTGCAGTTTGAGAAAGTAAAATTGCTGAAGATTGTAACTGCAGATGTTTAAATAAATCATGCAAGCATGTAAATATGTCCTCAAAAAAAAAAAAAAATTTGTGTATATGTATATGAATGCAATGGAAAATATATATAGCATGTATTCATAAAGTACAACAACACAATGAAGGCAACTGCGGACTGTTTGATACATATGGATGCATGTATTAACACATTAAAGTATAATTAAGTAGGTTTCCATACTCATATTCAGAGTTTCAAGTACAAAGGAACCTTGGGTGTTCAAACCGGGTAAAATCCGTAAGTGAAGTTACACAATAATGAAAGACAAAACTCTGGTCATACTACTTACAAGTAGAAATATAAACCCCATGAAACGGATAAAATTCATTAGTGAAGTTAAGCAATAATGAATAACTCTGATCATGCAACTTACAAGTAGAAATATAAACCCCATGAAACTGTGGACCCAAGAACAGCAGGGTAAAAGCCTGCATATAACCCTCTAAGACCCTGAAGCAAAAAAAAAAAAAAATGAAAAATTGAAGATCACTCTTAAATAAGAGGTAGAGCAAAAGAAATGAACAACAGTAAGAAACGAAGTTGTTCATATGCACTCACACCAAAAAAGCATTCTGACAATCAATTTGAACCAGATCCAAAGACGGTGTGGTTTTTAATTCAAAGGTTAATGATCTGGTATTTGGACTCGTGTTCGCACTTGACATCTGTGCCAGACTCCAATTATCACGGTTCTTAGTTGAAGTCTTAAAAGAGCTGAAGAGAGCATTTACTAGTAAATGCTAAATATGCTTTTGTTGCAAGAAGACGATTTTATAAGGTTTCTTCTTTAAGAACACAAGTATTAAAAAAAAAATCCATTGCAAAAAAAAAAAAAAACCCTAACCGATCACAAAAATTACTACAAAGTAAAGTGATTTTGCCCCTCGAAATGAAATAATAACAAACCTCGGTACGAGCAATGGTGAAGAGAGCATTATGAGTGTTTCTGTAGACCGGGAGATTATTCCGGCCATCATTCACTGCCAACAACAGAAATCATCCTCATTTTATAGATGAAACCAATACTCATGTATGTGCCATCCATATATAGAAACTTATATGTTGCATATAGATCGAGCAAACCTTGGAAGCGAGTTCGGACGACGTCAAGGGGATGAGAGAACGTGACGGAGGCGAGGCCAGCGACGGCGCCCGCGGTGGCATTCTCCCACTGCCAGTCCACCGTCCTCATTGCCGACATTTTCTTTGAGTTTCTTCTTCTCTTGTCATTTCAGTTTGAAGGAGAGATTTGGGGGCTGGACGCCGTTCGGCTCTTGCTCGATACCCAAGTAAAGCCCGCAAAACATTCCCAGTCGGAAAACACTCGAAATTTATTTGTCACAAATTTTTCGTTTTACTTTGGTTCCAAATAATGATTCATTGTGTCCCAAAATTTAACTTACCTTCCTACATTTAGTTAGTTTAGCAAACTCCTTTTTTTTTTTATACTCAGGTGTCCACCTTCGACGACTAATCCTGGGGTCTAAACCTTGGCCCTTAGGACACAAATCAAGTAAACCGCGGGATATGCTATAAACTGGCCAGGGTCCAAGAGCCCCCTCCACTGATCTGCCAAAGCGTCCGGCGAGTCAACGCATGTTGCACCTTGCCTTCCAAGATAACTATTACCTTCCAGGAGAGAGTCTGCCTTCCAAAAGCCCCACGAATCGAACACGCGACATCTAAACTGCCAGCAACTAAGAGCTTCATCATTTGCCAATTGAGATGTGCCCCGAGGGGTGGGGGGCAGCAAACTCCTATTTTTAATACTATATCGTGCTATTCAAATACGATTTCGTGTTGTGTTCAACATGACATTTACAAGTTGAAACACGTGATTACTCGAAATCTAAACAAGCTTCATAACCTATGAAAATTCGTCTAGCGCACACGCTAAATTTGCGATGAAATTGAATAACTAAAATGAAACACTCTTTTCACCCATTTGCATTTACTTATATGCTTTTTTATTTTAAATTCAATCCACTTTTGAAAATTTCGATGAAATTGAAATCGCCAATATTACACAAACCATGATAAAACTAACGAATTCAGCCATCCATACTCCAGTCCAAACTAGAAAAAGAAAACCAAAAGAGAAAATCTGTAAAGAACAATGGTCGTCTCGCGATGAAACTAGCAAATGGCTCTGAAAAAAAAAAGCTGATCCATCCTTGAATTACCAGATCAATTAAGGAGCTCTGCAACCAAGTGTATACAAATTGGATGTGTTTCTTCCTAGTTATTTGAATATCTAAAATAGTTGCAGCATCATCAAAAGCGAAGACTGGCAATCCATCGCTTGTCAAATTGCTCACATTGTAATAAATCCACTAACTTTGATTGCATGTTGGCCCCTGAGGTCCGTGATTGTTGTTATAGCAAAAATGGCTGGAAAAATATAGAGAATAACATATTAGCTTGTAGACTATATAGACAGACAACAAATAATCAGCTAGTAACAAATAAATTCAGAAACTCAAAGTCCCAATAAATCGTGGCCCCCCCAAAAGTATTGTAATTATTTAAGTATGACGATAAATTATACCATCCAAACCTAGCTCATATTATCCCCAAGAACCAGTTTTCTTGTTATGCATTAATTCTTAATCCCGAACTCTGAGAGCAATGACAAATGAAAAGGAAATTAGAAAAGAATATGCACTGGTTCACCCTCTACATCCACTTGCCACTGTAGATCTTTCATTGTAATGAAGAAGGAGATAAAAGTTCTCCTCACACCCCTTGTCTTTTTCTATCACAGAAAAATTGGTCCTCAAAATCCATTATATAACATAGCATCCGCCCCTCTGCAACACCATTTCGACCTTACTGCAGTTGAGGGGATAAATGAAAGGTATACATAAGCTACACACAATCCAACATTTTTTTGGATGGGTCAAGGAACGATGGATGGGAGTTGGAAGTGATCCTCAATCAGGTGAGTGTTCAATAGGGAAACAATTTTAAATATGGTAGTCCTAAGTAACATTGCACCCAAACATGATCCAAAGAATTGAGAGAGTCCCTGTATCGAAAGTTAAAATAAAAAAATAAAAAAATAAAAAAAAGGCATTCAACCAAATTAAAATTACAATCTCTATAGTTAAACAGTAATGACCTATATTAGAGCCAGTCCAAAAAGGGATTTTCAAGAAAGCCTACAAAAGCATTGGTGTAAGATCCACCTTAACTACAAGGGTACAAATGAACAGAGCGTATTCCAAGATATTATAAACTCTTATCACATTCATAACGTACAAAACAAACCACCTTGTCTTATCATTCTTAGACTATCAAGGCATAACAAAAAAGATTACCGTAAATTGATTTCTCAATCAAACGATTCAAAGTAAATGCCAGAAACATAGAGAGGGAGGAAAAAGGTGGGGGGGGGGGGGGNGGGGGGGGGGGGGGGGGGGGGGGGGGGGTTTGAACAGGAGCAGTTATGATATAATTCTAATAAGAATAAACAGCTGCACCTCCCTGCCTTCCCACCCCCTTAAAAAGGAAGAGGGTCCTTAAGTATTCCTGCTGCTATGTTGGCGAATTCTAGCTTTCCAACAAGTACAAAGAATTTTTTAAGCGGTTCCCTAACAACTAAAAAAAATAGAAAGTAGGCCATTATGATCCTGTTTCACCTGAATCCTCCTAAATGATGGAGAATTCTAACCTAAACACCAAAACTGTACTTTGGAAAAGAAAATAAGAAAAGGAAACATGAATAAGGTGTTCTTCTTCAGACTAATTTCCTTCTACTTAACCTAAAAGTTCTGATTATCAGTTTATAAGTCAAGCAAAGATTTTTCTCTCCTGCATCTATTGCACTCATTTATCAAACTTAAACACAACCTAAGCATTTCAATGTGTGTAATCGTTTTTGTTTGAATGACTATACATTTTTATTTCAGACAAAAGTACGTTAGTATGATGGATATCAGGGACACAAAAAAATCACAAGCACAAGTACAAACACGCATAGACAAACAAAGAGAAAGAAGAAAGTGTTAATTTATCGAATTTTGGCATCATGTCTTGCAAATCATCCAAAAGAATATATTTTAAAAACTGAGTTAAAAACCGTTCATGTCTCTCAACTTAGCAAGAATGTTGACTTGAGTAGGAATAACACAAACACAGTACTCGTCTATGACTGATGTTGCGTGATTGCCTAGCACCTTTCCAATAGCCTATGCTTTTGGTTCAAAAAATATATATATATATAGTTGCAAAAATACCATTGCATAGAGGTTCAATTCTGCAATTACAGAAATGTCAATATAATCAAATTCATTCAGCTGCATTTCAACTTATAGATTCAGATTCATGGCAACTAGCAACCAAGTTAGTAAATTACCTCACTCCATTATGACTTTAGCCCCGACTCCCTTCATCTTCTCAATAATCTTCTCAGCTTCCTCTTTGGGAACCCCCTTCTTCAACAACGTGGGCGCCTTTTCCACGAGCTCCTTGGCTTCCTTCAACCCCAAATCCGTGCACGCCCGCACTTCCTTAATAATCTTGATCTTGGCGGCGGCATCAAATCCCCCCTCGAGTTTCAAATCAAACGATGTCTTCTCTTTCTTCTCCTCCTCTTTCGGACCAGCCCCACCGGCCTTCCCCTTTGGCCCTGCCATTCCTGGGCCAAACCCCATCCCAGGCATCATCATCGCCATCATGGGCATTTCTTCAATCCCCATTTTCTTCCTCAAAACTTCCGTCAAATCTGATATTTCCAGCAATGTCAGCCCGGAAATCTCTTCTACTATAGCTGATACTTTCTCCGAGCTACCCGCCTTCGGTTCCTGCGCCGAAGCCGCAAACTTTCGTATGAAATTCGAGAAATTTGATGGGTTTTCATAATGGATTCTGGAGATTATGCTCCGTTTGGAGAGGCGAGAGAGGGTTTGAGAAATGAGTCGAGAGCCCTGTTGTGTCATTTCCGAAGAAACGTTTGATATGTATATTAGATGATAGCAACAAAAGTAGAGTTATAGAAGTGATGAATGGGAGGTGGTGGTACAGTGGGCACCTATTCTTTCCTGCGGCGGTGAGTGGAGGCAAAGTGTGGTCTTAGAGGCGCAGGCGATGACGAGTTCTGTCATCAGATTGTTTAACCCTCCTCGTATTATGCCATATATGACTTATGGGGTTTCCGAATTTTTTTTCTCCCCCTTCTTTTGCAATTTCACGTAATTATAATTTGAGGAAATTACACACACCCCTACTTTTAAATTACCATTTTCAAAAATCCAAAATCATCTTTAATAATACATAAATCAGGTTTTAATTAATAATTTTTAAATCAATTTTTATTTAAATTAATCATACACAATTTCAACCCTAATTAATTCATTTCCACTCCCCCATCTCTCTCTCCAGCCAACCCGTTTTCTCTCCAATATCCCACCGACACCGCCGCCACCATCCCACCGACACTGCCGGATCATCACCACTGCAGAATCGTCCCCTCTCTAAAAAAGGAATCGGTCGGATTATTACCCTGAAACACTAGCATTTAGCGGTTAACATCGGCTTTCTACTTTCCTAGACCCCTCACCTGAATACTTGTTGCTGCACTTTCTCCTGCCTTTTAGATCAGGTAAGGTGTTGGTGATGTGTGGTTGTGGTGGTTGTTCTAGCAGCGTCTGTTTTGGTTATGCGTGTGGTTGTGGTTGGATCTGGTGCGAGGTGGTGTGTGCGTTGATGGCGGGCTGTGTTGATGGCGGTGTGGGCTGTGTTGGGGTGCGAGGTGGTGGTGATGACTGGAATTGTGTCGGCGTTGGCGTGTACTGTGTTGGTGGATGAGGCGGTGTGTGCTATGTTGGTGTGCGAGGCAGCTTGTGCTGTGTTGGTTTACAGATATAGTGGATTTGTGGTGGAGATAGTGGTGCTTATGTTGGTGGTAGTGGTGGTTTGTGNTCATGTGGTGGCACTGGATGATGGTGGTTTTTTAGGGTGTTTTTTGGGCGGTGGTGCAGGTGGACCTGCGGGTGTTGTGGCTAGTGGACGGCGCTGTGGGGGTGTTTTTGGTTTGGTGGTGCAGGTGGCGATGGTTGTGGTGGTTTTTTGTTGTGACAGGGGGCAGATCCACTGTGATCTATAAGTTTTCGATAATTTGTGACCAAAAAATTTTAAAATATGTGACCTATCGATAAACTGTGACCGATAATTTTTTTTATTCGTGACCAATGAATTAAATTGTGACGAATAAAATTTCTAATTTGTGACCTAAAAATAATTTGTGACCAATAAAAATAATCTGTGACCTATAATTTAATGTTCTGTGACCATAAAATAAGTTGTGTGACTTATAAATTTTGTGATTTGTGACCGATGAACCAATTGTGACTTTTTTTTTTTTGTGGCAATTGGAACAAATTCTAGACCTAATAGTAGAAAAAATTATCACTTTAATTGACAATTTTCATAAAAAACGAAGCCAAAAGGACACCAAACTTTCAACATTTTCCATCAAAAATTATACCAATCAAACACAACTAATTACAATTTTCAGTAAAACAATTTCTATGCAAATCAATTCTCTATAAAACATTTTCTTTTCAACTATTTTCCACATTTGCAATCAAACAGACTCTTATAGACTCTCTTAAGGATTTAGGGGAACAATTTTCTAAGAGCACGACTATTTATATTTTATATACTAATACCCATTTTAAAATTGATTGGTTGATATGTGTTAATTTTCAATTTTTCATGTCATATTGTTTGAAGCCACAAAAAATTTGTACCTATGAATACATGAGCTTAACGATAAGAAATGGCCACGAACAGGATCTCAAAGACCTGAAACAAATGTGCCAATGATCTGCACCCCAGGATACACAAGATTGACAATCGAGAATGAGCACGAATATAATTTCTAGGACCTGAAACAAAGGCTCAAATGCTTAAGTTAACGAGAGAGGAAAATATAAGTATAATGCTATAAATTGAATATAAAAGCGTACCTGAATAATGATTCAAAACCTTATATTTATAGAGGTAGGTAGTACACTCCTAATAGGATTAAGTAGTGCACTCCTAGGATAAATCAACTGAATATCTTATTTGCAACCTGTCTGGCTGAAATTTTAATAAGATTTTTAGCAAAAATCTGACTGTTGGAGCCGCAATAATTGACTGCATTTTCAAAATTTTGCTTGGTTTGATCAAAATCCTTCCTGTATAACGGTAAGATTTTTACTCAAAATTTGTGAAAAATTTATCCCAGACATGTTCATATTAAAGAGTTGTGTGCTTGAATCTTTCCATGCTTGGGAATTGTAATTTAATTATAATTGTGAGATGGGTGTTTGGATAAACATAAAACATTAGTGGTAAAGTCTTATTATATTAACGACATTAGTGGTTTTGTTAATGGATTGAATCATCTTCTCGAGGTTATGCACACTACCTCGAGAAGTCTCAACCCCGAAGATCGACGATAAGTAGGTGAGCATACCTCGAGCTCACTCGTCTGGGGTGATCTCGGGGATACCAAATTTGGGAATATCATTGGGAAAGTGCTCGAAGTTATAATGACCTCAAGCATGAGGTCGTGGGGTGGTCGGATCGTACAAAAATTGTACACATCAGTGTGGATGATTGAATTGTGCATGCATGATATACATGGTAACTTGACAAAAATATATATTGTACCACAAGAGCACCCTAATACTGTTATGTTCATGGTGATTAGTACAATAATTTCCGATATCCAAATTCATATTTGGACAAAAAGCTTATTGTAAAAATGGAGACTTGCACTTTAATTTGACACCAAGATGTGTGGAGCTCCATGAGTTTATGCTTATGCCAATTAATATAGCCTATGTTTCACTTGTGTTTATACTTGCTCAATGCAGTTTTTATCTTCATATTATGTGGTATCCACTATTAATATTAATTTATTCATAACTCACTTCCAAACATGCTTATAGATATATTATTAGGATGGAAATTGCCATTTTAGAGTGTGTTTGTCTCCCATTATTAGAAGAAAAATAGAGTAATGAATAATATTTTTTTGGAGAATGTGTGGTTGAAAAGTAAAGTAACTTTATTAGTTTATGTGTAAAATATTTTATTGGGTGAATGTGTGGTAGAAAATCTTACTGTAACAAACAATTTTTTGGAATAATGGTAGACAAACATGGGATTAGTAAAATGTGGACCAAAATGCCCTAAAAAATAAACATAGGTTAAAAGTAAATTCTTATTAACACTCGTTTGGTGCACATTATACCAACAAAATGCATTATTTATGTCAAATTGTGAACAGTGGCACCAATTGAATAACATGCAATTCATTTGACTTCTATTCCTTCATTCCATTTTTGCCCCTATGACAATTGGTACACCACAATTATTTGATTATATTCTTGTACACGGGATGCATTATGTCAACAGTGGAAATTGATTTCATTTGACGTTTACAATTTTCCATCTTTGCCAAATTATGAAAATGATTCATTTTCCTAAAGTGAATTTAATATCTTGTTACAATAAATCCCGCTAGTTGACATACTGTTCGTAATGAATGATACTACGAGCAACAAATAAATCGATCGACTTTCCCTCACCTCGGCTCTAGTTTTGCAAAGAAGGAGACTCCTGATTAAAAAAGTACATTGTCAGTGTTGCTGTGCTATATAATCGTGAAGTCTGTTCCAATCACTTCGTTGCATTTTCGGAGCGATCATTTCGGCATGCATTTCATCCTCGACGGTTTGGTAGCTCCACTTCGGAAGCATCCTCATCCGTTTCTACGGTACGAAATGCCTCGTCCACCACTCCAGAATGACGTAGAAAATTATGAATATCCATCGTCGCGACAACAACGGCAATTTGAGTGCGAAACGAATAGCTAGGCATACGATCGAGGATTTATCATCTTTGCTTCCACACACCAAATGCACGTTCAATGACGTTCCTACAGGATGAGTGTTTGTAGTTAAACCTCTCACGAGCATTACAAAAATGACGACGACAACCTGTTACATCGTCGCGAAACTCTTGAAAATGGTACAATATATCCGATCATTTGTAAGGGGCCATATATTAATATAATAAAAGAAATAAGGAAAGATTGAAAAAACAACAATAGAGTTCGGTTAGTACATAACTTAATGACTGGACTTGTAACGCTCATTGAACTACCACTCAATATACTCAAATTTCTCATCTGTGTCCTGCATTACGTCGAGCATGTCTCGATAACGCTTCTGTGCAAGAAACGTACAAGCAAATAAGTACAAAGGCGTGTGTCATTTGAGCCGTCTTGCCTCAAGCAACTCCTCCATGCAGGCCACTCCTTTGCTGAAACTTTCTTCTTCTTTCCTTTATGAGTGCTCGTCCTCGACTTTCTCTTCTCTCCACTGCGGGGTCCAGAAGTGTTAATGCTAGTCGTGCAGTTCCCTTCGTCGTCCTCATCATTCGAACCAATGCTCTCCACATCGACAGAGGTGGGTATGAGTTAGGTTTGGTCTATTTTTGCCTCAACCTAAACCCAACCCAACATGATCGATTTAATCATAATTTAACCAAACACAACCCGCGTAAAGGTTGAAACCCAACACAACTCAACCCAATCAAGTATCGGTCGGGTTATGTTAAGTTGGTCGGTTTGTGACAACTTGTCAACAAAGATTAGAGTAAGAGGGTTGAGTTGGGCGAATTTATAATTGACTCATGATTTATATAATATTAGGTCTCTATATTTGCAATGAACAAAAAATCTAAATTATTTTGGCACTTCATGCCCGAAAATATTACATGGACGGATTGATATTAAATTATATGAAGCCAATAAATGTTCTTGGCAATTAAAATATTTTTGTCTTGAATGTATATTTGCTTATACTATTTTTCGTAAAATGCATTATATCCAAGTCTTATAATATTATTCTAAAAGCTTCCATGTCTTGTGCCATATTCA